CAGTCTAGGAAATGAGTTGCCGAGTCCCCTGTGAGTTGACTTCCATAAACAAGGTTATCTAGCTTATTGTATAATTCTTTGGTTAAATTAAATTATGGTGTTTCCAGTAGTGGCACTATCGGTCGTAATGGAATATCAGCCTTGTGTACTTTTGTTTAGCCGTAGAATCTGGGTATCCTAGGGTCACTCGTCTTCTTTCGAGACTGCTCTTCTTTCATGGTTTGATCAACTTTCATAAGATCAGTTGTCCAGGATTCATGTCTTTCTGTCGCTAAGTGCTCTTGTCACTGAGTACTTCTTGTGCTATCTACAGGTAATTTGTTTTGTTGAAGACAACGGTTTTCCTTCCTTTGTCTGCTGATTGTATCACAGTTTTTTTGCTTGACATAGGTGAGTTCAGCGGTTTCCTTCATCTATGCTCAGTTGGTGTTTTCCCGTGGTTCTCACCAACGGTATGACTAGTTGTTTCAGTTTTTGTTGTCTTTCAGACGTTATTCCATTAGTTTTCAGTGAAGATTCAAAGGCTGTATAGAAATCCAACATATTCGCATTCATCACATTATAGTTTAATTCATTTCGGAATGAAATATAGTCTGAATGGGATAAGGTTCTTTCTGAAAGTTCACTATCCATTCCTGTGATTTGTAAAGCTCAGAAAATTTGTTTCCCAGTTTTTCTATCTTTTTTCCCCTTTGGTTTCCGTTGTTTTGTTTACATCAGTAGCTAGTTGGTTCATCATCTCTGTTGGACATACCAAGCTACCACTTACGTTGACGTGCAATGATAGCCGGAGTTAGATTAGGTTGGGAGGAGGCGCATGGTGGTCATATCATGATGTAGCACCAGTCCATGAAGTCTCCGAATATTTGTTTGAGCCATGTAGGAAAGAATGTGTTGACCGCCTAGTTGAGATGTCTGTCGTCCAACTCTCCTCGATATTGGGACGGTTGCTTCAAACCACCTGAAGCGTTGCAAAGCAATAGGATCTTATGATTTGCAACCAGATTGTCTTTGAGGACGAAGGCGGAAACTTACTGAGTAGAGTTGTAGAGGTGCTAGGCAGTGTACGCGAATAAGAGGTAGCCCTATCAGACTGGTCTACTTCACTGATCACTCTAGTCCATAAGAAATAATGAAAGCTTTGTTGCAAACACATGGGAATACGCTTGAGTAACATCGTGCCCGAGACCTCTTAATCTATTGTCATTCGACACCCAACTGTAGCTCCCTATAAATGTGCTAATGGGCATATGTCTAGGTACATCTGACTTTACAGGGACTGATCTACTTCCTGGAGGTCATCTGGTTGGCTTGGAGAACACATTCGACATTTTCCTGCGAGTTTGGTATTATACAAGTGGGCTAGAAATAAATCCACAAATATGTGGCAGTAGTAGGCCTCTTATCTGTATAAAATACAAACCATTAAATTGGAATTGCACATTCTTGGTGAATAAAAGTAAATCTTTAGGTCTGTTATATGAAAGGCCTATAATCCCAGGAAGACTGCTTGTAATATAAATACTTTGTTTTAAGTGGCATATGAGTGTATGAGCAACAGACAAAGTGACAGCATCCCTTTTTATGGATCCATAAGAGGCCGTATATTCCTGGACAATATGTGTCTTAAAGTCATGTCTTACAGAGCACTTCATCACTTAAGCTCTAATTCAGCAAGTAGGTGAAGACCTGATTATTTCTCTTTCATGGTTTGTCATATCTGTATCATCCTTTGAGATGAGTAGCGTTTCCTACCATTCAACAGGCTGATCATTTTTGAGAGGTAGCTTTGCTTGTTCTACACGATCTCACCACAGCCTTTATCGGACCTCAAGTACAACAATTCGGTCAACCTTCATCAATCCACGAAAGGTTTTTTTTGAGGATGACCATCAGTGCATGCTGATGATAACTGTCTATGAGAAGGGGAGAGTAAGAAAATGTCAACTTTAAGAAATATCACACTCCACTTTGCTGTTTACCGGTCCTCACAGTATGACTCTCATAGCCAGATTCAACACAAAGTCATATCTGAAACTCTTTGAAAGATCATAAGTGGCGGACCACATTAACGGGTCTTTTGAGACTCGTGGTCAGGTACGTCAAGAAGTAACCTTCCATTCTAAGAACAACCAGGAAGTCAAACGCTTTCATATCCCAACCAGTTCCGATCCCTTTCAACGATCCACATCTGTTTTATCATCTTTCATTTCTTCCAACTGCGCCAGCCTTGGTCACGCTTCGTATTTGTGAGAAAACATCCCTGATCTCCTGAAACACTCCAGAATGTGTGTCGCATCCTCCACCAAGTAGGACAGCAAGCCTCGCTAGCCGAAACTCTGGCATTTTATGTCATGGTTATGTGTTGCGTTTGTGAGACAAGCATACGGCACCTAAACCTGGTTATTCACTAAGCTTCAGTTGGTTAATATGTGAAGTCTCCGAAATCCCCCCATTGAGTCTCCGGACTTTCCATAACCAGTTGTCTTGTAATCGCAAGTATAGCAATAAATCCTGATGACAGTCGTCTTTGCGCTGTTCGACTGAAACGAGGACTAAAAAGAGTAGTGAGATTCGCCGTTGTCTCCTTGTAATCTCTGCTTACACACTCACTGAATCCAGTTGGGAAGAAGTGAAGTTCTGCCGAAAACTGTCTAGCTGCGCACTGAAAGCAAAACGTTCAAATACGGTTGCCGTACCAGGTGATTTCAATGCACAATTGGATAGTAGAAAGGTTCTTAGGTGGCACTTCCGAAATCTTAGCCGAAAAAAACAAAGACGATCTCCCGCTGCAACTGTGCTCAGATAACCGTTTGTTTTGTGGCCACCACAAATATTATAAGTAAACAAAGACATTGCCTAACGCGGCGTCCAACGATAAGCACAGATACGCTATTTCGCTATGAGCTATTGCTAGAGAGGTTCAGTGGAAGATTGGGACTCCTTCTGCAACACAGTGATCCTGTGGATTTTAGCAGCGCATGAATGCATTCTTACAGGCTTCGAGCGCTGAAGCAACTCAAATGTAGACTGACGAAAAGTCTACGCAATGTATGCGAACAATGGTGAGCAGCAAAAGTTGAAGGGATGGGAAAGGCACTAGTGCCAGGTGACAACAGAAAACTATTTACGCTTATCGAGAAAACGAGCAAAAACGTCGATGGTTCGTGAGTGCTTGGGAAGAGAAGTACGGTCTTGGGTCCACTCTCAGGGGCAACTGGAACGACTGGCCGAACAGTTACACTGACCTCCAGCTACTATTCTATTACCCGCTATCTAATCGCACTCTCATTGGGACATTGAGGTAAGCCATCCAACTATAACCAAACTTAGAAAGGCTGAAAGTGAGTTCAGACGAGGAAGCGTAGTAGAGTTAGGTTAAGAACCAAAGATATTTGGAGACGGTGGTAGAGGATTATTGGTTAGACTAAATGAAATGTTAACTAGTGTATGGGGATCAGATATGATTCCATCTAACTGGTTTCAATCACTGATTGTCCTAGTCTTCAAGAAAGGCGAGAAGTCCTCACAAAGGGATCAACCTAACCTATGCTATGTAGTCAGTAGACGGCTAAGTGGAGCTCCGGGACAGCAAACGCGAGAAAACCACATAGGTTTCAGACCTAGCCGTGGGTGTATTGACCAAATATTTCCTCCGCTAGCTGCTACAGCGCAAACACACCAATACCAACCACATTTCTTGACATGAAGGCGACATTCGACTTCGTCGGTGGATAGGTCTTAACACCAATGTCTGTCACTGAAATAGGTACCAAGTACATCACGCTGTTGAAGTCTCTCTACTCGAACACCTGTGGGTGTGTTAGGGCCTACAATGAGTTGTGTACTTCGAGTGATGTCTGTGAAGGGTATCCAATCTCTCCATTCTTATTCAACTCTATCACAGAAGTACTTACAGAGTTCTCGTTGTCTGGTTTCAAAGGGATTGACCTTATCACAGGAGGGTCTTTGGTAGACCCATAGTATGCAAATAACATAGTTCTATTAGGTGAAGGTGTAGGGTCTTCTAGACGCCCTGAGTGGCAATTCGAGAATGTTCAGGCTACGTTTCTCGCCATCCAAATGCAAATTGTTGTTCCAGGACTGGTCTTCGCTGGTGCCTCATCAAAAAATAGGAAGTGTTGTTGAGCGCCCTGTTCCATTTACTTCCCAGGGAAGTCGGATCCACCCCGGGGAATCAGTGACCAACGAGATCTCCGCATGGATACAAAAGGCTCTCTTGAGTTTCGGCGACACACGTAATCCATTGCATCGAAGTGACATCCATTTGCCTGTTAAGGGTGCAGTGTGCTGAGCTGCGATTTGCCATGTTCTGCAGTATGGCTATTAAACATGGCGTCAGAAGGCTTCAGATGTTTGACCACCGCTGTCTTTGTAGTATAAACCGTGTGTCAGGTCAAGCAAGAAGTTTTGGGCACAATAAGGGGGTCATTTCACGAGGTTATGATCCTTCATCGACTCAGGTGTCTGTGACATGTATTACCCATGTCTAGTCATCATCTAGCTCGTCGTATATTGTTAGCTGATGTAAGCTTGTGTTGAAAAAGGGTTACCGGCGGGTGAACTAAAGTATGCCATCAGTCCATGAAGTCGCTGACTGTTGGTTTGAACTGTGGTAAGGAATTTAGACTACCCGATTGGGTTAGCGCGACAAGAGAAATAGATGACTTCAGACTCTAGGTGATAAGAAGTAGGATTGGTCGCAATGATGCCAACTCCTTAAACTTTTAAATTAAAGTTCCACAAGACAGTATAATATCATGAAGTGACAATTTTCAACAGTAAAGGTTCGTTGACTAATAATCACTTCACGCCCTTTCACACTCATACCACGCTGATATTGTATGATACCCATAGCATCACGTTGAAGTAAGATTTAAGTGAAACTTGCATTTTATGGTAAACGACATCCAAACCCAACCACCAAATAATAAGTACTCTTCTTGTAGCAGACAGATTTTAAAAATTTAAACTTATCATCACAAAATGTGCGACAAACGATTGTTGAATGTATGGTTGGCCGTGACAGTGTTATACATAATGAGAAAACACTACAAATAAGATATTTATTTCTTTTTATATTTACACTGAATCCATACTCTGTACATTTGTAATTTCTTTTTTCGATTTACAATCAACCTCCGGTCAACTTTATTCTGAATTTCCTCTAGACCAGCATCGATAAATAATTTGTTTAATTCTTCTGTAAACAAAACATTGTGAAAGCTTTAGGGAAACTTTTTCTCAGCTAACCTTGTGTAAAGAAATAAACTCTTGTTCCATCTGACCGCATATAGAAATTATCTTTTAAACACTGACCGTTCTTAAATCTCAATTGAGCCAAATCATAGCGTCCATAATCTCGAAATAGCAATACACCTCCAGGTTTTAAATAGGTTACAAGGTTTCTTATAACAGACTGAAATCTAAAATTTAATTGGGATTAAAAAGGTAGACGAAAAATTACTTACAACTCAGGATTAACGGCAGACAATACAAACACTAAGATTAGAAAGTCCAAACTATTCTTTGGGCAAGGAATTTCGTCCGTTGTTTTGGTAATATCATATGTGAAAGTGATACAACGATTGGAATCATATCCACGTGATTGCTTTTTTAAAGCGATATGAAGCAAAATATGAACTTACCTTAAGTATGGATAAAGCCTGATCAGAGAAATCAGATGCATAAATGAACAGATTTGGGTTTCTAACGCTATTAAAGGTATCTTATAAAATAACTTACTGAACAACGCGTAGAATTGGAAGTATAGTATTTCCTACACCGCAACCAACTTCCATTATATGCAAACTAGTTGCTATGATTATAAGAAGAAGTTGAAACCTACATGTTGAGCAAAACAATTCACTGAACTCCTTTTCCATCCACTTCCTATCTTTAAAAAACTTGTCTTTATGGTGAGAGTAAAATTTATCCCAATATTCCTGTGAAAGAAGTTCAAGCTTATCTAAACGTTAAAAATGTATCGAGTTTCGTAAAAACCTTGAGAATCTTCAGAAAGTCGTTTACTGCTATTAAGAAGTATCATTTCCTTCGCTGTATTCTCCTGTTGTTCTGTCCACTGGACAACATCCCTGAAAATTAGGAGTTTGGCTTTCGGATGTTTATACCTACCAAGCATTATGTTCAAAAACATCATTAGCATCTGTGAGATATCGACATCCAAACGAAGACTCCTTATCACAATCCATTTTCCGTTTCTTACTATTCACGTTTGAATTGTATTCACTAAAAATTGAGGGATACATCAGTTTTCAGGTCCCAATGAATTGTGATAACATTGATCTATCGGTGAGATAATCTTTGCCTGAGAAGTCATATGTAACATCGCTCTGCAGGTGGTATGATCATTGAAGCTTTCCCGCTTAGAAGTCATATATTCATCCGGCTTTTTCCTTCAACAAACATTTTCTAGTAGTCTAATGTATAGTCTCATATCAGAGCAATATTTGAGTAAACATCGAACAACACACTCGATCTAAAAAGCGCTTCGATCCTCTGTAGTGGCGTATTTGTAAAAACTTGAGTGTTGCTTAAAAATACAATGCGATGGTTTGCCATCAGAATAATTTTAGGGATGGAGGTGGCGAATTATTGAAAAGAATAACGGAGGTACCAGAAGGTGTATGCGAATCAAAGATAGTTTAGTCTGACTGATTCACTTCACTGATCCCTTCAGCCCATAATAAACAAGAAAGGCCTCACAAACATATGGAAATCAGCCCTCTCCTACACTACTTGATCTTCTTTGATATCACTTTCTATCAACCTGTTTTTGTTTGTTACTGTAAAGTGTGGTAATTTAAGCCGATGTACCTGTGTGAGAGGTTCTGAGTTGATTTTGTCAGTCAGCCAACTTCTGTTTCGATAACGCAGAAATACTACAACCAGCAAGTCCAAAAACGGCAAGGGAATTGCCGCAAGCATGTTACTCCATTCAAATGTCAATTAGTAGATACGTGGAGGTCTTCTAAAGCTTGAATATTCGCACTAACCTTGAACTTCAAATTATTTAATTCTCTAACAACTTTGTCTACCTTGATATCACTCATTATTCTGTCTACCTGTTTTTTTATACTACTGTGGTGTGGTACCTTGAACGGATGCACTTATGTACGATGTTCGCTAAATTTATCTCTCTATATGATTACGTGTAGGGAGTTTTGGATAGCGATACGTTATTCACTGGATGATAGCTGCTACATTGACGTGGTGGTTGAGCTTGTATATCACAATGATCCAACGAGCTATGCTGGTAGGAGGCTCTTTCCTCGAGGTCCTATTATACCAGAAACGTAATTTAAATAGTGGTTAGATAAAAAGCATTCACCATTACAGTGTACATTGCTTCGCTAAAATGGGGATCTGAGGGCGAAGTCGTACTGCTGACTGGACAGAGATGTGATAGCAGTTAGTTGTTTCCCTAAGATAAGCAGCAGTGCAACGCTGATGCTGCTTTCCCTTTGAACAGAGGGTTTCGGAAAACGTTGGCCCTAAAAATAGCACACTCCCGCCAACTCGTGGAATATCGATGTCTTCAACAGGGACTCATTCGAATTCAAAGGCAAATGTCCCAAATCTCAAAGTTACTAAAAGGCTGCATAACCGGACTCAAGCAAATTTCCCATGGGCTCTGTTGTCCCACACAATCTCTTCTTTTTCAGGTGCCTAAAGGAATACTAGCCTTCCGCAGTGTCGGCAGTTGGGAACTGTCTACCGCTCTCACACTTCGAGTAATACACAAGACTTAAACAACCTAACCTCAAAAACTCTCTCCTCTTTTGCCTTCACCTCCTGATACTAAGATTAAGCCTAACAGGCTGTACCCAACCTCTCACTCTGCAACCGTTGCCGACTACCAAAGCCATCAAAACCTCATTCCTAGTCTCTTAAGACCCCACCATCGATTTCATGTAGGGTGCATTCGACGTCTGAAATCTATGACGAATCAAACAGCAATCATCACTTGGCAAAACTCTAGAGTCTCTAAGCATGTATGTATGCTGTCTCTGTAAAGACAGGACTCGAGTGTGGTTATTAAACTGATTTCACTTGGCTGCAGCAGAGAATCATGAAAATTCACCTGGAGAACGAATAATTCGCTTTCGTGAACTCGCCGTTGTAGGCTTAGCATGAGGCTAGAGGGTAAAAAGTGCGCTTCTCGACTGGATACTAGTAAATAGTCGTCTATGTAATGTTCGAATGAGTGGATTTGTAAGGATTAGGACAACCGACGCCTATTCGTAATCTCCGTCTACGAACCCACCGACTGTAGTTCGGATGATGCATAGGATGAATTCTATGATAAATCGTCAAATTTGTTACAGGAAGCAGAAGGCTCAGATGTAGTCATAATGGCAGGTGAAGTTAACACTCAAGCAGGGAAGCTGAGTCAATCGGAAAGGCATCTTGGGGGCGTTTACAACGAACCCACAACGGTGATCATCTGTTGCAATTTCGTTCCAACAACCACTTGTTTCTGGCCGGCACTACCTTTAGATACAAGGAGAGCTACACTATCTTACGTGGTATTCGCCAACCTCTAGCCAGAGAAAGGATTCAAACAAATCACATTGCTATAGGCTATCATTAGACGATCAGTAGATGATTGTCGATCTTTCTGGAGTAACTGTCTGGACTCCAATCACGCGCAAGTACGGGAGTGTGTATATCTACGCTTTACTGGTCGCAGGAAACAGGCAGCAGTAGAGCCTATTTATTCCCCACTGGAAGATGGGAACACCGAATTCCTATTTAGGGATGAGTTAGCTAAGCATTTACCTGAACATGACAGTGATGCACAATCTGAGGAACACTGGTGTGGCATGATATTAGGTCTGTTGTAGAAATAGTAGCAAATCTAATTGATAACCTAGATCAGAAGTTTAGCACACGCTATTAGATTTCCGTGACGTCATCGGAACTGATTGGTGCGAGAAGACTGATTGCAGCTGGGTCTGACTACGATGTAATGTAATGCACTCAGACACCTTGTGTACATCCGTGCAATAGACAATGAGCCACTGCTAGTGTGTGAGGGCTATTGATACCACCTGGTTGCCAAAACCTCGGTAAATGAAGTGGGGCTCGGACCTGTGACTCAATGGTTAATAGTCATCTCAAACCACTGAGCCACAGCTCCCTAAGCATGATGAAGAGAGATAGAACTCAGATGTAAACTGACCAAGACTCTTCACGTCGATCGCGATTAGTGGTGGATGGCGAAAGCGAGAGAGATGGAGAAGACATCAGTACTGAGTAACACTCGGCAACTATTTAGCCACATTAAGGATACGAACAAGAATAAAACGATAGTCGAACCATCAAAGAAAACGATGGAACGCTGGTGACCTTTCACGGAAGACGACTAGAACGTCCAGCAGATTACTTTGAACCAGGTACATCTGACTTCACATGGATTGATCTACTCCTCGTAAAGTATCTAGCTGACAAATGACAGTCTTATTAGGGAAAAATGCTGACGAGATACAGGGTCTTTTGAGCCCATCGCACCAGTCAAATATAAGATTATGCTCCTGGAATGGTCTGCAACTACTCCCAGTTTAGAGATTGGGAGTGGGGTGTGGTGCAATGTGTCGACCATTTAACTTACTTGGGGAATTGCAGCATACTGAACAGACTGGTTACTGACTGAATCTCAGTTCAGATGCAGAAGGCCCAATTGACATTCACCAACTTTGGTCATCTGTGCCACCGACTGGCAACACATCCGACTTTCTATGAGAGAACGACTATGTTGCCCTGTTGTTAGACGTGGTCATTAAAAGTAAGAAACATGAAGCGGTCACGAAGTTTTGCTCACAGATGTCTTCGTAGCATTTCTTGCTTTTGGTGGGATCACCCTGTGAGCAATGTTGAGGTCAGGGGAAGAGTACTAGGGAAGACAGGCAAGTCGACTGATTAGGTTTTGAACCTCAGTCGACTGAGATGGCTTAGACACAGTGCGCAAACCGAGCCAATACTTACCTCGACGTACTATGCTTAGAGAAGTTAAGTTAGTTTGGAAGAGGGTTCAGGGCAGCCGTACATCAGCTCATGAAGTCCGTAACTGATGGTCTGAGTCGTGTTGGGAGATGCAACCTATCTGGCTGGGGTTCTTGAGACGACAGGAACCAGTGGTTGAGAACTTCTGGTGACACGGCTGAAAATTGGTCGCAGTACCGCGGATGTATTCACTTCTTGATGTCTTCTAAAGCTTGACTATTTGCATTAATCTGTCTTCGGATTGTTTGTTCTCATACAACTTGGTCTAGTTTGATATCATGCGTATGCTACCCACCTCTTGTCTGCATACCACTTTGAAATATGGCAACTTGAACCGATGCACTTGAGTAAGCGAGGTTCTAGACTGGTTCTTTCTGCCTGGTACCTCATTCTTCAGGACTCACTTCACAGTCAAACACTCATGACACCGCTCGGTCGACAGTCTAATACAGCCCTTAAGTCAAGTTACATGGCCAATGTCTGACGCCAATGTGCGAAAAACAGAAAAGCATACAAATCACACAGAAATAAACCGGTTCAAGTTGCGACACTTTACAGGATTAGACAAAAAAGAAACGACCGTGAAAACTAACTTAAAAGTGGATATGAGGATGGGGAATAAAAAAAATGGTTAGTCGAAAACTGAAGCGCTAGAAGACGACAATACCTGCACCATTAAAACTGCTCTTCAGCAACTCCACCAACAGTTCTTAACCACAAACATCTACTGGTTCGAAGACACCAGTCTGAAATCCCATATAACGCCAGAACAAGGCATATTGCAGAGATTACAATCGTTATGACCTTGCTAATATCCACCATTCCAGATGTGAAACAGTCTCCCAGAAGAGTTAGAAAGCTGATAGCTGCGTCGCACTCAGGTTCAGGGCGGATATTGGGTTAAGAAAGCGTTGCTATGAGCCAGTTGGACAGTGTTTCAAACTTTTCTACCCAATCTTTTTTTCAATTTATCCTCAGAGGCTATCAAGACCTCACCCTTTCGTTGTTGGTCTTATTAACCGTCGTCTTCTTTGAACCAGTATCCTAACTAAGGATGGATAATTGCAGCATATTGCATAGCGTTGACGCCTCCCTTTTCTTCGCTCTTGCCACCCACCATTGCTGTCGATCGCTGTGAAAATTCTCAGTAAACTCACGCCTGAGCTGCTTTCTCTCCTTACTATAGTTAGAGCCAGTTGCAGTCAGTTCGGATATTGCGAAAGTCTAACGGCTTTTTCTGACTTTTGGATACTGGTTACCAACTGTCTTTACCACTGTTGCCACAGCATATGCAATATGAAGCCAGACTTCACCAGAATGAGAATTGCTTCCCCAGGTATCGGTTGTTTGTTCAGATTACAGCCAGGGTCACTTCATTTCCAAAGACAAGGGATACTGACCTGAAGATAACGGCGTCTAAGGTAACCTTGTACAGTAAAAAGGATGAGTACGGGTTCGAACATCATACCCTTAACAATAAAATATATATTCGCTGACATCATCCCTATTCATATTGGGCGAATAGGTAGATAAGAAGAACTGGAATTACGTTGGCGATTAAAAAACCATGTTATGAACTACTATCATACCCCGTAAATAGAATGAGGTGGGAAATTAACAGGCAACGTCAATACATGTACATGTCGTAACGCACACACTGTTACGCCCGCCTACCAAAAAGTATTCAGGGGGAACGTTTGAACGATATTAGCCTATGAAATCCTGTTAACATGTGTTTTAACAAAAAACCTATTCTTACTTAGTTGTGTTCAATCGCTGGTCAATTTTCTTAAAGCAAGTGCTTAACTCGTAGATTATTTGACCCTGGCTTTTCCATTCTTTTTATATTGCCACGAAAATTTCCATCCAGTGTGAGGATTCCAAGTGAAAACAAGTGGCGTATATGACTCGTTTGTATAGTTCCACATTTCATCAGGTAAGCATATGCATTAACATCATTTCATGTTTTTATGGTTTTATTTGCCAACAGGAACTCACTTCAACGATTTCCGACTCAGTTATTGTCCACAGAATCATGTAACCCAGGTGGGTATCTAGGTCTAAGCATTTCCCACTCGTCGTGTTGCCATTAAGAGCAATATAGGTTTATGCCAATAGATACAGTCAATTCGGTGCAAAGGAGCAAATCTTACAGGAGAGAATTTTCGCCGTGACGATGGATGCTGACATGAAATTCACACTGAAGTATGCTGTAATACCAAAGAGGTTTGTTGGCTGTTAGTTGACTTTCACTCTGTAGCGTCAAATGAGATAAAGCCCTATAGAAATCCGCTGCGTAGCACTGTTGAGAATATGCTACCCTAAGAGTCACTGAGTGAATTTATCCCTCAGATTAAATTGCTTGTTCACATTTTCACTTCCATAACGACTTTCTGGAGATCTTAAAGCAGTTATTACAATTGAGTTGGTGTTAAAAGCCTTGATGTGCAGGCGACTGTAATGCAAAACTTTTTCAGAAAATCGAAAAATGTTAGGAATAAACAAGTTGAAGAATTTTTTAACGATTTCCAATGCCACATGCGAACTAGTATTTTCAGTAAGCTACCTTTTGGTCATAACTATGCTCAAGGCCTTCCCATCAAGTTTATCCTGAGAAAAGGGGGCGAATATTCTTAGTTATTAAGACTTAGTGGTTGAATTTCATAAAGAACCAAATTCATACACTAGTACAACATACTGAGCCTTATAGTTACATAAGCCTGTTCCCAGTTGGTACACGCATTGGACCCAGAATCACAGGTGCCGATCACAACACAGTTTTTTAGTGTATGACATGGTAACTGATAAACAAGCTGGGGGGCGCCACACAAAATCGCGGTCAGGAACTTCTCAAAAGCTAACTGTGGGACATTCCTTATTTTCTGATTCACCGTCAAGACCTGAAGCGCTTCTTGTCATCTGCTGACGTTAACACATTACCTCAAAGTTTGGCTTCGACACACTAGCCTGTTTCGGTTAGTCGGTTTCTTGGTCCGCACTGGAACCTAGCATAGGGAGACAACCATATTTATTTGAAGCCAATAAAATTGATTTGCGCGAACTGAATCCACCGTATCCCAAATGAGATGACTTCTCCTCCCTGATCAACATCCCCAGCATCTGAAACTAAAAGTGGAGAAGCTATCAGGAGCGGTCCTATGGCCTCCCTTTTTGTGCAAACGTCTACAAAAACAGTGCATCACTGCTGTTGTATTTATTCTACCAATAGCAAATTTGAAATAATTAAGAATGGTTCGATCAGTCAAAATTCCCCAACGATTTTCTGAGTAATCTGTGGGGATCTTTTAATTATTAACTTTTTGATTCTCGCACAAACAGTGGGCACCAATGCGATACCTGTCGGCCTATTTTTTATTGGATTATTATTGTTGTTGTTATTGTCATTACCTACACTCGTGTTTCAGATGATTCACTGCATTTCATTAGTATTTCACTACATATTCACCAAAATATCGCCTTTTTGGCTGAGGCATTTTCAGCTCCTAGGGCATAACATTGATCACTAAACTGCCTATACGCCTTCGTACACCAGTTATATGTGTATGCATTTCATTTAGTCTGATTGCTCGCATCTTAGTCCACATGACAGATGTCCAATAAGACCTCGATGTCAGTAAGAACAAAAAAGCGCATAAGAAAATCCTGCAGTATTTTGCCACTTCTCCCTGCCATGCTACCCCGACATTGTCCGAGAGCAGTCATTACCCTTTTCGCGGTCCTCTGGCTCATCGTGTTGAGAAATCTTTTCTTATCAAACAATAGTTGCTGGAGTAGGTGATGCAGTTTTTGATGTTAACAATGTGTTCATTGCCATCTTTTTCACTCTAACAAGAAATGAAACACAGATCAAAAAATTCTACCCTGAGTCACTGATGTTGGCAGCTGATATGTTGCCGCAGCAAATGATAGTGGAAAGGGCTTTAGCACTTTAAGATGACAGCCGGTAAGTTATTAACAGTGTGCAGGCTGATTTCCTAGTACTTGGAGCAACTCTTTTTCAAAGTTTTATTGGTTCTGATCTAAGCAGTCAGAAATCAATTTATGAAATTTTTCGCATCGCCCTGACAAGACTTATCAGTGACAATGGACAAGTTTCTGTCACAGTACTTGACTCTGACCATCGGGAAGAGATAGGTGTCGACTATTCTCGTACACAACACCGACTGGTGAAACAACCTTGCTAACCTCCTCCATAGAAGTTAAACCGAGGGATGTGAGGAACATACGGCCCAACCTGCTTTTGATTTACGAGAAAAAATGTCAAATTGGTAGTCTCTGGTTAGGGTTGATTACTGGAGGACAAATGAAGCAAAGAAGAAGCAGTATGAGTGTCACCGAACTTGACCTTGCGTCGTACTGCTTGGAGTTACACAAGTTGCGGTACATTTTCCGACCGTTTCCTCTTTTTCTCGTTCGAAGCTGCTTTTCATCCTAGATGGCCACTTTCCCCCTGCCAATATCGTCTGGAGATCTACTTTCCTCCTCGTCCTTCCGGGTGAAACACTTCCGCCTGATTTTCCGATTTTCCTCCTTGTTTACCTTATGCTTTCCTGATTTCCCTTTTATTTTTCCCTTCTTTGATGCTTCGGTCACGCCATGGATACAGTCGAAGACAAGATGTCTCGAAGAAAACATGCACAGTTTGTGCAAATCATATCTTAGATGTCTTTGCAAGATGGCACCATCAGTGATCCACCTAATACAAGCCCTGCACACAATCAGTTTAATTAACTGCAGCGCGAAGTTGGAGAAAGTGCGAATTTCAACTCCGTGATTTCTGAAACTAAGTCACAGTCAAACAACCTCTTCCCTAAATCTCACTATGAAAACGCCCGACTCATTTGACCCTGCCGTCTCACCTTAGGGAGGCAGCTTAATTTACATTATTTCTTTTGGGGTGCACAGACGTGTAAAAAAACTTGTTAGCATGGCTTTTTATTACATTCAATGATAATATCCCACTAGCCGTTCTGTTCACTTACCCTTAAGGCTGAATACTTTCCACACTGCATGTATCATGCCACTTCAAGCAAAATATGAGCTTCAACTTAACTGTCCTTTTCTTATTTACTTCAGTCCACCAACCAATACATAGAAGCTGATAGTGCCTTGATAAAGATCACGAAGTCGCCCGGTTTTCAGCATGATTGCTATGCCTCTGATATGGTTTTTGTGAGATGACGGGCGACCAGGTTCACTGGCTGCACTGACTCCAATATGTGACCGTGATCCTGGTGTTTGGAGACGACAGCAACGCGGCGACTACTGGTGTGGTTTGTTCTTCACCTAATAAAGGGACTTGTACCGGCCTGTCAGCGACTTCGGATCTTAAAAGTCGAAGGCGACTTTATGAAGCAAGCACGCGTCCTAAACATTCACATATTACTGGGGTTACTGTGAGAGGCACAGAAAGTGTCTCTGCTTTCTCGAACCCACCCGCAAAGCTTAAGGTATCCAGTGTTCACGCACTTCTGGTCAACAAAAGGTTTGATGGGAATGGATTCAAGCTAATCCCCAGCACCTCATCCCATTAATTGGGTCCATGGAAGTCTGAACATAGCTGGTTCGGTACGCCCGGAGATAACACTGTCCCTAGTTGTGATCATAGTTATATTAGCTCACCTCCACTTATACTACAGGGCAATATTCACCAATTTTACTCCGCCCCACCTCTATATACTTCCGTTTTCCAATGTCTTTTTACTTGGATGGTTATGCTTTACGATATTGCACGGAGTGCTCACGAAACTGATGTGTTCACTCACAATAATTATCAAGATTATTCACTTAGTATGCAGATGAACATAGGGCTTCTTTCCTTCCAATTCGTGACTACAGTGGATTCTTTACACTTATATGCACAAACGGAGACTCTTCCTCTAAACTCCTACACGCCCACTTCGTTATAACAGTCACGGTCAAACACTACTGGGCACAGCCCCGACCCTTTCTGTTAATTTGAGCACAATGGATAATCCATGTCTGACAGGCTGGTATCACCGAAATAACGTTTCTGCCTAGATCAGCCAATACCTCCGACACCACATTTATCCCCACTTTTGACGCCTTCATATCTAAACTAATGAGCCATGACAAGTGGCAGCGAAACAGTTTTCCCGTGAGCACTACTGACTTACTTTCACCTTCAAGGGCATCTACTCCTGAAAAACTCCATAAAGTGGTGAACAATCTCTCTTCATCTTTGGCTGCAGGCTTCCTGCTTCCCGTCTTGCTTGCTCATCTTAATCCTGCTCTTTTCGTCGGCGAAACTGAAAGTTTAACGAAAATCAGCCGCGTCATGATATTCGATCGGTCTCGTTGCGCGATGTTACCGCACCCACCTCCCCGAATGACTTTTGTTCCGGTTACCTCTTTCCGCCTGCATCTCTTCCAGCCACGTCCTTGGCAGATTCTTGGCCTACAGTCAAATAACCATTGTATCTCATCCAGTGCTTCAGATGCATTCACCAAAAATATTAGTCTTCCCACTCACAATCCCTTGAACGACTTCTAAGTTGACTCACTCACATCATATCTTATCTTAATCAACGCCGTCTGCACCCAATGAAGATTGATTTCTCCTCGACAGCCCGCTTCCTTCTGTCCGCCGACTGCCGGTGTTTTGTGGAGACTCAGTGCATGCCAAGTG